AGCTAAGCTCTGCTTTCGTGCACTACATACCAGCCAGTTCTTAGAATAACTTCATGAATTCTGTGGTCACCCGTACGACATCTACTGCCGCCAAAATGGATGGAATATCAAAGGCATAGCAACAGCCCCTTGTTATGATAACTCGTAACGTTGAATTTACTGCAGCTGACCTGACTAGCTAAACTGCTCACTGAAAGACATTTCCTTGAACTATACCCCTCACCGGGAAGAAGGCAAGACCGCACAGAAGCTGTGTGGTTAAAAAAAAGAGCAAAAGAAAAGATACACAATATTGGAGTGGTGAATGTGGGGCACCGTTGGGTTAGACGGATGCGTCAAGGCCTTCCTTACACTGCTCAAATTCTGAACCACCTGCTTCCTTTGCCGAGATAACGGGCGCTCATATTATAAGGTAAGGTTATAAAAACCATCTTTTAAGATCATTTTAGTGAAAGTTTCATGCTTCAAGGCGTACCATTCACTGCTCAAATACTAAACAACCTGCTTCCATTGCCGAGATACAGGGCACTCATATTATAAGGTAAGGTTATAAAACCACCTTATAAGATGATTTTAGTGAAAGTTTCATGTTCCTATCTCATATAATTTAAGAACAATGATGAATAAATCATTTTTGAGCAAAATTTAAATGGCCGGCTGAATATATTACCGCCGGAGAGACGGCCGCGGAATTTAAATCACCGCGCGAAAGGGTTAAGGTTTCTTTTTGTATGTTTAATATCTTTTGAACTGTTCCATTAATAAAAGTCAGTTGGGCTAAGACAAGTGACTGCACTGTTTACCCTGGCTCCTTTTTTTGTCCACTTACTGTTTAGTAAGTATGGTTTATTAATAAATGTATACATGCCTATTGTGTATGAAATTGGCAACACCTGGAATTTTACAGTGAAGTTTTTCTTCAGCACTTTCTGCAGAATCACACTTCGCAAATTGTTTGTACAGAAATATGTATTTTTTGACAGTATATGGAACCAGATGAACCCATAATAAGTACTGTATAACGTGATACCATATCTAATGCTATTGCAGACTTATTCATTCTGAAACAGGTAAAACTAAAAACACACGTACACCGTCACGGATATGTGGTGACTATAGACAAGGTTTGGATTGGTGAATGGATTTATTGGCCACTTATTCACATGACTCGGAACTACAAGCAATTACAACACCACTCCTAATTTCCACAAATCACCAAAGCACCCACTAAGCCTTTTTCCAGCCTGCTGTGTTTTCATCAGCTGTTCCCTGGCAATGACATCTAACAGTGGAAATTCTTCAGCTTCATGTGCTCAGGTTTTCTCTTCACAGCCTCCCATGCAGAACTCAACTCAACTGACTTTGTCCCTTGTTTATAACATCTCAGTATGAATTATGTAGGAACACCCTGTTCGCAACTTTAACTCTATTGTTGTGTGTATATTCGTTTCTGTGGGAATGTGTTTATCAAGCTGTTGTTCAACTGTCTCTGTTACATAATCACTACTTAGAAATGGGTCTGTACACCACATTGCTTCCTCCTTAAGGCTATTCGTCCCACATGGTCTACAGGTGACGCACCATTCCTTTCGTTTCCTAGGGCTGTGCTGGTGGCATCTGTGATCAGTCTCACCTTTGTCCTCCATGGCTCTGATCTCATGGTCATTACACTGCAACTTTTCTTGCTGCTCCCTCCTTAAGGCCACTTGTCCCTAGCAGCTGCCTGATAAGGTGCTAGTTGGTTTGTGTTTGTCACCATCATTCTTATTTCTGTCTATGTGGGCAAAACTTTCAAGAGTAGTCAGTGCTCCTGCATTTATGGCTTGTAACACTGTTAGTGGTTTTTTCTTTCGTTTCAGAGGGGGCCGACTCCCCCACAAGGTCTGAACATTCATTTTCTGCAGTCTATTGAATGTTTAAACTATTTGCTTTGTGACCTCCAGTTGACAGTCTTCCTGAAGAACCTGCTGGATGTCCTGCTTCCCGGATGTAGTTGCTTCTTTAAGTCTTGGTCCCTTATTCCAATTATGTTTTCCAGTTTCGACCATTGTCTCTTCCTGAATGTCCGTCTTTTCTAGGTTCCTGGTACAACCTTGTCCTTGCCTGGTCCTTGATGACATTGTCTCTTGTATGGTGCAGAAATGGCACAGCAGGTCATCTCTCTGCAGGCAGCAGCCAACTTCTTCTGGGACCAGTCATTGCCCTATGCCCATTTCTGCATCTAACCACAGCACCTTATGGCTAGATGCCAGTCTTCATACTGCTCCTTCAGTGCTCCAAAAGTTTCCACAGTGGCCTTTTTCTTAAGGACCTCCTTGTGCTCTTCCTCAGACTCTATTCCTTCATAACTTACCTCAAAATTCATGGCCTCCGTCTTTCCTAAACAGGCCTCCATTTTCTCCAGCTGGGAGTCCATCCTGACCAGCACTTTTTCATATGGGCATCTAACTTCCCATCCATCCTTTCTTGGTTGATTTCCACCTTGGCCAGCATTTCTTCTTTCAGGAGTTCTTGGCTGGCCATCATTTCCTTCAGGTTGGTGTCTGGTTTTTCTCGGTTGCTCTGTATCACCACTTCCTGCCTTGCCATCATTTCTTCTAAGACAGTCCTTAGTTCAGCCTTCATTTCAGGTGGCATTTGTGCCATAATTTGTTCAGTCTCCATAGTATGGTGGTATAATGATCCAGTGCAGTTTCCAGCCCAACCACTTCTGTCACCAGTTGTCATGGATACTTGGTGACTGTAGATGGGGGTTTAGATTGGTGAATGGATTTATCGACCACTTGTATTCATGACTCAAAACTACAAGCAGTTACAACACCACTACTAATCAGTGCAGTTCTCAAATCACCACAGCACCCACTAAGCCATTTTCCAGCCTGCTGTGTCTTCGTCAACCATTTCCTGACAGCTGCTTCTTAACAGTGGAGATTCTTCAGCTTCACATGCTCAGTTTCTATCTTCACAGCCTCCTGTGCAGAACTGAACTGAACTCAGCTCAACTCAATTGACTTTGTCCCTTGCTTATAACATATCAGCACAGACCATGTAGAAACACCCTGTTTGGTACAGTAACTCTATTATTGTGTACGTATTCTTTGCCGAGGGAATGTGTTTAATGAGCCATTGCCCAGAACCGGTCGCTGCTACAGAGTCACCACTTAGCAGCAGGTCAGTACTCCACAGTACACACACACAAAAAAAGGAGTGGGCTTAAATGCTGGTCCTTGCATTTTGATCATAGTGATCTGCTGTGCTACTCTTCTATTTTAATATTCAGCAGTCCTACAATTGAATGAAGTGTAAGATACTGCTTATAAGGGTGTTATAGTCACCTGGTTCCATAAAATAGTGGTCCAAATGACAAAATCTTAAATAAGCTATGGCCTCACTCACTTATGATGTGTGTGGTTGTTTCATCTTTTTCTAGGTAACTTTCATAAATAGGACTGGCTGTCAGTTCCATTTTGGAAAAGTGTTTTTTAGGTGACAGTGTCCTGTAATCATACTACCCACCGTAGCTGATTTCTGTTTAAACTTAGCAGTTCCTTGATTCTTCTGGCAGATAGTCCTTGTGTGAGTTCCTTTGCCTTGTTGAGTCCTGTTAAGGATTCCCAGCATTTTTATGAAACATGAAACATTGAATTTTTTATTTCTTAATCACAATTGGATTTTTTGAGGATTAAAGGATTAAAAAAAACAGTCATTCCGTAATGTGCAGTTTTTCTTGCCTGCTATACCTACGCCCCTTCACATCTGCCTTATCTGACTAAGCCAATCGGAGGGGTGTATCATGCCCTTTCATAAGTATATTTTGAACTTTCTTCACTATAATGTGTTTGCCCCCCAAAAAATAGTTGCCATGACTTTTGAAGTAACCCACGTAGATGGCAAAGTGTTCTATGATAAACGCCTTTTTAGAAATATTTATTATATTTTTGCATCTGTGTAACAACATGTAGAAGGAAACTGTAATCTCACTCTGACATATAAAAAATACATATCATGCATACAGTGCACTCATTGAGATGCTGTCATCCTTTGGGCTGCTTTTTGTTGGTCTGCTGCACATTACAGATTCTCAAGTGAATAAAAAGTTTGAGAACCGGTGATATAAGATGCAGTGCAGACATTCAGGGTGTGATGTTGATAGCATGATGCTAGAATACAGATATAGCAACTGTAAGTTATGCAGTCTTAATTGTGTTTAGTGATTAAATACATTTTGGTATTTTTCCAGAATGTTGGATGAGAATTTTGCAGAACAGATGAAGGAGATAGTGCGCTCCTGTTCAAGGAGTCGGCAGACATTGCTGTTCTCTGCAACTATGACAGAGGAGGTAGAGGATCTAGCTGCTGTTTCTCTCAAGAAACCAGTCAAAGTTTTTGTTGATAGCAACCGTGTTGTTGCATTCAATCTGCGACAAGAATTTGTTCGGTAAGGATAGCTTATCAAAACTATTAACCACTTTGCTTGGGGACTTTTATCTGCTGTGGGATAACCTATCCTGGGTGTTTTTTTGTCAGCTGTGTGACTGTAAATACTTTTACAGTGCAACTTACATTACGAGGGGCAGTCAAAAAGTTCCTGGAATGGTGGTATAGCACTCTAATGGTAGGACATATGGCAACGCTTACCTAATCACCCTCAAAGTAGGACTCTTGTGCGCGCACACACTTGCTCCATCGATCCTGCCATTGTTGGAAGCAGCGGTGGAAGGCTTCTTTTGGAATCTTCCAGAGGTCAGCCGTCGCATTCGATTTGATGTCCTCCATGGCTGCGAAACATGTCCCCTTGAGGCCCATTTTCAGAGTAGGGAACAGCCAAAAGTCTCTCAGAGAAAGATCCGGAGTGTACGGTGGTTGAGTGATGACAGGAATGTTTTCCTTGCCGAGGAATTGCTGTACAACAAGCAATGTGTGGCTCGGTGTGTTATTGTGATGCAGAAACGACTGTCCCTGCCACTTGTCGCGCCGCTTCCTCCGAACCCCATCCCACAACCTCTGCAAAACTTGCACGTAAAAATGGCCAGTAACAGTCTGAGATATTGGGTTTTCGGACTTTATCCATTGTCCTGGTTTTTAAGAAAACCAAGAAAAAACACGACGTTTCGGAAACTGGATCTGTTTCCGTCCTCAGGTGAGGTAAAACATATTCTATTGGGTCCAGTGATTGAGGCTAGCTCTTTCTAAGGGACCCAACATACTAGGTGTTTTACCTCACCTGAGGACGGAAACAGATCCAGTTTCCGAAACCTCGTGTTTTTTCTTAGTTTTCTTAAAAACCAGGACAATGGATAAAGTCTGAAAACCCAATATCTCAGACTGTTACTGGCNTGTCAAAATCCTATAGTAACTACAGTAACAGTCTGTCCAGGGGCTACGAACTCACGGTGCACCAAACCATCTATGTCAAAGAATGCAGTGAGCATCACTTTGTCTTTGGATCTGACGAGGCATGATTCCTTTGGCCAGGGAGACGATGCTGTGTGCCACACTGATGACAGCATCTTTGTCTCCGAGTCGTAGGCAAACACCAATGACTCATCACCAGTGACGATCTTTTTGAGAAACATCGGGTCCTGTGTACTTTTGTCAAACAGATCGCCAGTGACCATCACACGACATTCCATCTGATCCGTGGTCAGCTGCCTCGAAACAAACTTCGCACTGTCACGTCTCATCTTCAAATCATCAGACAAAATGGCATGAATGGATCCGTGAGAGATACCAACTTCTTGCTCCACATCCGCGATGGTCATTCTTTGATCACATCGAATCAGTTGTCGCACTTTTCCAATCATTTCTTCAGTTCTGGACGTCGAAGGTCTCCCGCTGCACTCGTCATCCTCAGACGTCTCCTGCCCATTCTTAAAGCGGGAAAACCAGTCGTAAACTGCGGATTTCTTATGTGCAGTATCACTGTAAACTTACTGCAGGGCTGATTGCATCTCTGAAGTAGATTTTTTCCAATTTGCACATGAACTTGATGTTTGCACACTGTTTGAACAGTGACATTGCGCCTAATGACCAACACACACATCTAATTCAAACAGAACAGTAATGACACTGCACGCTGAAACCTGTCCAGACCTGTTGCGCCTGCGAGCAGACATCCTGAGCTCCCCACCACAACAGTGTGTGCGCTATCTTATTGCTCGTTCTCTGTCTGCAGGGGAATTCCGGGAACCTTATTGACTGCCCTACATATATTGTATATGTATCATATTTCCAATATTTTTAGTTAGTAAAGTCCAAGACCACCCTTTCTAATGCTCTACCTGCTGCCTGAGCACATGCAGTGAAGGAACATTGAGTAGAAAGCAGGTATTATGCTGTTTGTCTTGCAAAGTACTGCTGTCTAGACAAGAAAGTTCCAGGTCTCTAGCTCATCATACTCAGGAGCTATACATCATTGAAATGAAAGAATGTACTGGTACATCATACTCATTATATGATTGTTGGACCATGAAGGAACATTATCACATACCCAATAAAAGGGTATAAAAGCTCCCATACCTATACTATATGAAAACCATGGACTCTGAACTCGCAGTTTTCCTTCTCATTCACTATCATCCATTTCCACCTGAATGGTCTTCTCTGTCCTTCCATAAGCAGTAATGCTCTTGTCTACAAGATATGGATATGGGAAGAGCAAACAGAATAGTACCCTGCATATTATTTGCTTGCTTGGTAGGCTTACTCTTTAATCCGGAAGATGGATGCAGTGTATACATCCAAAACACTGATAAAGTTCTACCATATTATGTTGTGTTAAATTCCAGGAGATAGTATTCTTGTTATTATTCAATTTTAATTTGTGATTTTAAGAAAAAAATGTATATTTACATGATAAAGCATACTGACACTGTCTTATTTACTTGTGACTCTAAAATTCTGTATCCAGATATCAGAGTTTCTGAAGAATCTACTGCTTCCATCGTCATTGTCAGTCTGAAGTTGGAGTCTGAGGGTAGATATCTACTTAACACAGTGTCATAAACCCACAAGACCACAGTCTGAATTCATACTGCCATTAGAACCTCAAACCTTTGATAAACATTGAAAACATAATAAATAAGAACAAATATGAACTTCTTTATTTTTTATTTGTATATCTTTTGTGATTGGAATTGAAGAAGAGTAAGCCATAAGCCATGGTTCAATGAATGATGCTCAAAATGATTAGACCAAAGGAAACAAGCCAAACTGCAGTTGTTACAGGATCCAAATGAATTAAATGAGGATAATTCAAACAATATGAGACGTGAAACCTGCAGGCAGTTCAGGAAAAAAAATAGGGAATATCTGAAAGACAGAATTGATGAGCTTCTAATGAAGAGTAAGAACAAGAACATATAGACCTGTGTAGAGAAATAAATGACTTTTAAGATAGGTTACCGACCTATGAGTAACTCAGTGAAGTATGAGAATGATGATTTGCTTGCAAATTCCCAGGACATTTTGAATACAAGGAAGAAGTACTTCTATCAGTTGTTGAATGCACATAGGGTCAGTGATGTTAGGCAGGTAGAAATGCATACAGTTGAGCCAGTAATACCTGATCCTAGCCCTTTTGAGGTTGAAAGTGCTATTGCAAAATTGAAAAGGTATAAATCGCCAGGTAGTGATGAAATTATGGCAGAACTGGTTCATGCAGGATGTGAAATATTATGTTCTAAGATCCTTAAGATAATTAATTCTATCTGTAATAAGGAAAAATTGCCTGATCAAAGGAAGGAGTCTTATTGTACCAGTTCACAAGAAGGGTGTTAAAACTGGCTGTAGTAACTATTGTGGGATGTTACTGCTATCAACTTCATACAAAATTTTATTAAATATTCTTCTCTCAAGGTTAAGTTCATATATAGATGAAATTATTGGGGATCATCAATGTGGATTTTGACGTAACAGATCAACTGCTGATCAGATTGCTTTCGTCAGATACTGGAGAAAAAATGGGAGTACAGTGAGACAGTACCTCGGATATTCATAGACTTCACGAAAGCCTATGATTCAGTTAGGAGGGAAGTTTTGTTCAATATTCTCATAGAGTTTAGGATACCCATGAGACTAGTTAGGCTGATTATAATGTGTTGAAACAAAACATGTATTAAAGGCCACATAGGTAAATATTTGTCTGATAATTTCCCTATCCAAAATGGTGTAAAACGAGGAGATGCTTTATCGGTACTCCTTTTCAACTTTGCTTTAGAAAATGCCATTAGGAAGGTCCAGGAAAACCAGGTGGGACTGAAGTTAAATGGGACACATCAGCTGATGGTCTATGCTGATGATGTGAATCTGCTGGGTGATAATATAGATACCATAAAGAAAATCACAAAAGCTTTAATTGACGCTAGGAAGGAGGTTGGTCTAGAAGTAAACGCAGAAAAAAAAACTGAGTATATGTTGCTGTCTCACCACCAGAATGCAGGGCAAAATCATGACATAAAGATAACGAGGAATGTTCCATATATAATGCCTCCTATTTTTTTTAATGAAAGCTACAACAGATACAGAAAGCATAATAATGCAGTTAAATAGAGGAGGATTTCAGCTACTTACAGTTATTTTTCCATGTAATCACCACCATTCATTATGCACTTTTGCCAGCGATGAACAAGAGCCTGCATGCCGCATCTGTAAAAGTCTGCACCAGCAGAGGCTAGCCACTTTCTTACAGCTGCAATGACAGCATCATTGTCTGGAGAATGTTGCCCAAGTAGTCCATCTTTCATAGGCCCAAAGAGATGGAAGTCTGAAGGTGCTAAATCGGAGCTATAAGGTGGATGTGGTATTACAGTCCAGCCAAACTTTGCAATGTGCGTGGTGGTCACCAAACTGGTATGGGGTCTAGCGTTATCATGTTGCAAGCGAAAGGTTGTCTGCTTCTCTGGCCTGACTTGGGAAATGCGGGCTTTCAGCTTAGTCAGCGTCGTCTTGTAGCGTTCAGAATTGACAGTCTCACCAGTCTCCAGGAAATCCAACAAAATCACACCCCGCCTATCCCAAAAGACCGTGCACATCACTTTTCCTGCTGATTGCTGTGTCTTGAACTTCTTTTTTCTTGGGGAATCCAGATGTCGCCACTCCATGGACTGTCTTTTGGATTCCGGCTCATAGTGGTGACACCGCGTCTCATCTCTGGTGACAGTGCTGTCCAGAAACTTGTCACCTTCAGCCTCAAACTGGTACGACAGGTCCTGACAGACTTCCATTCGATGAGTTCGTGGTCCTGTGTAAGCATCCAAGGGACCCACCTGGAACAAACTTTGCGATAATCCAGCTTCCCCAACATTGTTTCCAATGCATTACAGCCAATATTAAGTCATGCACACAGTTCCCTGATCATTATCCGCCAATCTGTACAGATGAGGCGCTGTTCATTGTGAGGAGTGGCAGCTGAGCAGGGACGCCCAGGCCATGGTTTGTCATGCATTTCACTTTCGCCACTGTTGAAACGCACTACCCACCGCCTCAGTGTGCTGACATCCACTGTATCGTCTCTGTACACCTTCAGCAAGCGTTGATGGATGTCAGTGGGTGCAATTTGTTCGGCAGCAAGAAATTCAATAACACAATTCTGTTTCGTACGGACTTCTATGTCAGACACCATTTTGGTAGACTGCTCTGCTGTCGCTGTATGTTGCACGACAACCAAACTAATAGTATATTGGTGGGAAGGTTCAACCTTTACTACAACACCACCAACATCCAGCTCAGACATTACAGATTAACTAAAAAAATAGGAGGCATTGTATATGGAACGCTCTTTGTAGCTAACAGATGCTTTGAAAATATGGCACAGTTCAGATATTTGGGAATGATGATGATAAATCAAAACCTGATTCAGGAAGAAATAAAGAGTACACTGAATTTGGATGATGCTTGCTACCATTGAGTCCAGAACCTTTTGTCTTCTCATCTTCTGTCTAAAAACATAAAAATTAGAATATACAAAACTATAATTTTGCCTGTGGTTCTGTATGGGTGTGAAACTTGGTTATGTGACCTTAAGGGAGGAGGATAGACTGAGGATGTTTAAGAAAAAGGTGCTGAGGAGAATATTTGGATCGAAGAGAGATGAAGTGATGGGAGGTTGGAGAAAACTACATAATGAGGAGCTTCATAACTTGCACTCTTCTCCAAATATGATTAGAATGATCAAGTCAAGGAGGATGAGATGGACAGGTCATGTAGCATGAACGGGGGAGAAGAGGAATACATGTAGGATATTGGTGGAAAAGCCAGAAGGAAGGAATTCACTAGGAAGACCAAGACATATGTGGATGGACAATATTGAAATAGGTCTTAGAAAGATGATGGAATGGGATTGGTTCATATGTTCTGGATCAGTCTGGCTCAGGATTTGGACCAGTGAAGGGCCCTTGTGAATGCGGTTATGAACCTTTAGGTTCCATAACATGCTGGGAAGTTCTTGAGTCGCTGCACAATTGGCGACTTTTCAGGAAGGGCTCGGGTCCATGAGTGAGTAATGAGTGATTTCTTTTGTGGAAATAGGCGTAATGTTTAGCTTCATTTCTTGTTTTGAATTGCACCCTAGTGTGGGAGATTACATGAATTTGTACTGGCACCTTTCCTATGAAATTTCACGTTTTTTGTTTGTAGTTTATGTGTAGAATAAACTGACAATATTCTAAGCCATACTTTTTTTGGAAGGGGGTAGGAGATGCTGAATGAATGTCTATTGCCATGATATTGTGGACACAGGATTCACCTCTTCGCTGTTGCTTTAAATTCTGTTATAGAAGTTTCAGCTCTGTGGATGATTTTGTAAGATCTAAAATGAAAAGTTTCATGTGAAACTGCTTCTCTTGTGTTGTGATTCATATATAGTGTCAAGTACTTCTTTGAGGCACAGACCATTTTCAGGAGTGGGACTTGTAATGATCACCCATACATATTGGTTTTCATGAGTAGGGGCTTCTGGTGTATTCAACTTGTCATCTCAGTGACATTAAACTACCTTCCCTTTTGATTTCTTCAGCACTTTTTAATTTAAATGTTTGCAAGAAGACTCTGTACTAATTGTGTGCACTTTATTTTTGTTGATAATGCCACAGTTAAAACTGGTGCCAACATTGAAAAAGAAAGGGACAATTTTTTAAAAGAAGGGCATGAATAATAAGATTACACCAACTGAAAAATGTGCACGATTTGATGAGAAAATACTTGTTAGTTGAAAATTCAGTGAACATTTCTACAAAAGCTGGAAGTGTCTAATTTTTAACCATAAACAGACATGCTGATAACCTGTGTGTCCTTATGGTAATATCAAAGTGTGTGCATTGTACAGTAGAACTTGGTTATAACGTCATCAAAGGGACCTAAAAATAGTGTTGTTATAAACGAATGTCGTTGTAACCGAAATGGGCACTTCCACAGTAGCCTTATATTAGTCACGTAAAAATCTACCAAAACCGAGTTAAAATGTTGCATTTTTTAGTGAAATACTTAGTTAAGTACAGACTAACGTAACATTAATGTGGAATTGCCCAAATGTGTAATATCAAAGACATATTACAGCGCTTTTCACTGATAATACACAGCGCACTAATACTGTATATTAAAGGTAGGCCTACTCACCAAATTACAGTAGATTACATCAATTGTTGTGCTTTACTGTACCTAGATACGAGTACAGTAATCAGTTATCTTCATCTGTTTCCTGTTACTTGCCCAATACACACTTTCTAAATTACGTTCAATGTCCATATCAGAGAAATTCAGGAATGAAAATGACGTTACATACGAGGTTGATGCATTTGTGCATGCCGTACTAAGCAAGGTATAAAAACAGTTGCTTTATGAGGAATTAGTTCGTACCATTGAATATTTGACGCAATAGACAAAGTGTCGCAGAAACCGATGTTGCTATAACCAAGTTTTTTCTAATTCATTCAAAGAGACCCTTGGAGGCTATGATGGGCTGGCCATCTGGCTGGGATGGCGGAGACAAGGAATGCATACCGAACTCTTATGGAAAAACGTTCATTTGAAATGGTTAACTTTTGAGATGAAACTCAGAAAGACTGAGAGTAGAAAGTGGGTGAAATAGTGTTATGTTCAGTGAGAGGCTTTGTTATTATGTGTTGCACCTCCAGGTTTTTCTTCCACAGTTAATTAGCTAGTTATTATTATTATTATTATTATTATTATTATTATTGGAGGCGGTGGGTTTCCCCATGCACCGCGACCAGTTTGATCTGTTGTACGTCCCCCTATGATATTCTACCAGTCTCTATACCCTACCGGTACTGGTGCATGCCATCAGTCCCGACTCAGCCAGCGAGTTCGGCCTCTACTGTCTCAGCGGTATCTAGATGCTTCCCCCATCTACCAGAGGCGTTAGAGACTATTGTTGGGTGGGAAATGTCCTTACAAATTTGGCTCAGAGGTCTCCTTGAGACATGAGGTTCTTTTACGTGCTGTAAAGCTACGACACGGGGACCCACGGCTTAAAGTCCCTCCTGGAGGACTTGTTCCCTGAATTTTTCCGCCCTTAAAAAATGCCACGACCTCTGCCGGGTTTGAACCCGCGTACCTTGAGTCATGAGGTGGGAACGTTACCCCTAGACTACGGAGGCCACTTAGTTAGCTAGTTATGTCATAATTCAAATGTTCTTTGTTTCTTTCTTTCGACAGAATTCGAGCAGGCCATGAAGGTGACCGTGAAGCTGTATTGGCTGCTCTCGTTTGCCGTACCTTCTGTGACCACACCATGGTGTTTGTTCAGACCAAGAAACAGGCTCATCGAATTCACATTCTCCTGGGACTACTTGGGCTTAAAGTTTGTGTAATTTTATTTAACTTTCACAGCCACAGATATGAGGAATGATTTAGTGGGAGTGCAAGGGGTCAAATGGGACAAAGTTGACACTAAATCAGTATATGTTTATGCTTTTTTTTTTTTTTTGAAAGTGGTTTGAAAATCATCTCATAAGAAGAGGATATGTTATTTCTAAGTGAATCAGATCAGCTGTTAAGAGAGTAGAATTTTTTAGTGAGAGCATGTCTTATGTATTACTGGGAGGTCACAGCATGATATTTTTCTGAAGGAAAGTGGTGACACAAATGACAACCTCTGCAAGGGGCTAGAGTGTGTATTCTATCCATTCTGTACCTAACACAAGAAAAGTCTGTTAGGAAATTTCAGTAAACATTGGGAGAGACAAAATTTTTAAACCAACAGTTGGGATTGAGAGTTTATGTGAAACCAATAATAATAATAATAATTGTGTTTAAGTAGTAAACTTCAGGTGAGGTAGAAGTGGTCGGTAAGTAAATCTGAAATTCAGAAGTTTGATAAGTTGTATCTCAAGAAGCTAATTGATACAAAATTTAAAGAACAATATCAGGTTAAAATTTCAAAGAGGTTGATGGCTTTGGAAAGCTTAGATGTTAATGTGGACATTAGTAGGGCTTAGGAAAGTTCTGGAGGATACTTCAGAATTTCAGCCAGAGAGAGTCCAACAAAATGAAGCACCATAAACTGTTGCTTGAATAAATATGTTCTAAATTATTAGACCAAAGGAAGAAAGTTAAATTACAATGATTACAATATCCAAGCCAAATGAATGGAGATAATAAGGCATGACTTTCTGGGAACAAAAAAGCAAATATCCAAAGCACAGAATTAATTAGTGTGAAGCTAACAGTAGGAGGAGTATATTCAGGACTTGCGTAGAGGCATAAGTGAATTTAAGAATGGTTGCTAACCTAAAACTAGGTAAAAGATGAGAATGGTGGTCTACTTCTGTCAGCAGCCAAATGGGATTAATCATATGAGGCAGACTGAAATATGTACAGTTGAGCCCTTTATTAACTAAGAATTTCTTCTGAGGTTTAAGATTTCTATGGAGAAGTTTCAAGGTATAAATCATGCGGTATTTATTGATCAAATACTGGCAGAGGTGAGACTTTACATTCTGAGATCCGTAAACTTACCAATTAATTCATAGTAATGAAGAATTGCCCTAACGGTGGAAGGAGTCTATTATTGCTTCTGTTTGTAAGAAGGGTGGTAATACTGACTGTAGTAGTTAAGGCATATCACTCTGACACCTACATATACAATTTTATCCAGCATTCTTCTCTGAAGATTTATTCCCTGTGTGATGGAATTATTAGGGATCATAATTGTGAATCATGACATAATAGATCAGCCACTGAGGAGATATTGTGCAACTGTTAGATACTGTATAAGAAATGGAGATGTAATAGTTATTTATAGACTTCTAGAAAGCCAGTGATTCACTTCGGAAACAAGTACAGTATTATCACTGAATTCAGTATACCCATGAAATAGTTAGGCAGATTACAATAACAAAACCTATAGTAAAAGTTCATATAGGAAACATATGTTGATGCCTTTCTTATGTAGAATGGTCAGAAATAAAGGAGATATGTTATCACCATTGGATTTCAACTTTGCTTTAGAATGCACCAATAGGAAGAGCCAAGAAAACTAAACACATCAGCTTCTGGTCTATGCTGATAATGTTAATTTATTTGGAAAAAAAAAATGTAAAGACCATGAAGAAAAAAACAGCAGTATTATTAGTTGCTAGTAAGGTAGTTGATCTAGAAGTGAATGCAGAGAAAATAGAGTATGTCTTCATGTCTCACAACCAGAATGCAGGACAAAATCATAACATAAAGGCAGCCAGTATATCTTTCAAAAATAGGTCACAATTGAAATACTTTGAAATCGCACAAACAGATCAAAATTGGATTTATGAAGAAACTGTGAGTGTATTAAATTCAGGGAATGCTTGCTGTCATTAAGTTTAGAGTCTTATGTCTTCCCATCTGATATACAAGAACATAAGGATTAAAATATATAAAATTATAATTTTGCCTGTAGTTTTGTATGGGTGTGAAACTTTATCCCTCACATTGAGACTGTTTCGGAACAGATTGCCAAGGAGGATAATTGGACATGAGAGGGAGAAGTAGTGGGAGGCTGGAGAAAATTGTATGATTGATAAGCTTCGTATCTTGTACTCTGTACCAAACATTTCTGGGATAATCAAATGGAGGAGGATAAGATGGGCAGAACATGTAGTGTGTATAGCAGAGAATAGATGCACAGAGATGCAGAAATGTAACCATTTGAAATATGCATGCATAGGGAAAAGATGATATTAAAATGGATCTTAAAGAAGTAGGATGTGAGGGTGTGGGCTGGATTCATTTGGCTTAGAACAGAGACCAGTGATGGGCTGTTATTGAAATGGTAATGAACCTTTGGGTTCCATAAAATGTGTGGAATTTCAGACTAGCTGAGCAAGTATTATTTTCTTTATGAACATTCTGCTCCATGGAGTTAGTTAATTAGTTCAAGGTTAGAGGAAGCCAAAGTTGTAGTGTAATTAAAGAATGTAAATTGTAAATAAATTAGTGGTGTTCCATGTTTATTTACTTAATTTACTTTTCGCAAGTTATAATCTTCCAGAAAACAGTAAAATTGCGTTATTTTTTGGTTTGATATATGGTCTTTGTCCTCAGGTTGGTGAGTTGCATGGTAATATGTCACAGCCTCAGAGGCTTGAAGCACTGCGAAAATTTAAGGATGAAGAGTTGGACGTACTGGTAGCAACAGATGTAGCTGCTAGAGGCCTTGATATACGAGGTGTCAAAACAGTAAGTAAATTACTTCAGGACAAGATTTGATGTTCTCTCAGCGATGAACATCAGGATAGTGTCTTCCAGGTTCTGACACCATGTAGTTCACAGATGGTTATCAATGATTTGGAGGAACTGCCCTCATTTTCAAGGTAACCTTAAATATTCATAATGATCTACAAAATTACATGGTGTCATAACCCACAAGACTAGAATATTAATTTAGTGTTTTGAGAAAATACATTTATGAGAGTATCAAAATAGATTTCATTATAAAGAGTGTAAATACTTTCATATGTACTTGTATATTATTTGCTTCCATATTATATTTTTATAAGCAGTTATAAAGTATACATATGGTCAGGTAGTCAATAAACCATGATATTGTCACTTGTTTCATGGGCTCTCACTGTATTATGACAGGTCATTAACTTTGTGATGCCTGCAACAGTGGAGCACTACATTCACAGAGTGGGCCGCACTGCCAGAGCAGGAAGAGTTGGTGTCTCTGTGTCCCTTGCAGGTGAAGGAGAACGAAAGATTGTGAAAGATGTTATTAAGAAGGCTTCAAATCCTGTAAAGATGCGCATTATTGCCCCAGGTAAGTTTCAGGCCCATAGAGCTGTGATTCTGCTTTTTAACGTACTTCCCTTATTTTAAAAAAATAGAAGGAAGTTTATGAGATCACCTTGCTGTCTGTGTATTCCCTCTTGATTCCTGAAAGCCAGAAGTTGTCTTGTTTATATAACTTTAGGGTGGACCACACAGTCACGACCTTCAGCACTTGACATGTTGTTATCTATTGGTCCATGCCATATCAAAAGAAAGTAGGCAGTTAGTTGTTCTCAGAACTTCATGTTATTCTTTTGCCAGTAAACAAACACTGCTTATTATGCTTATATTCCACCAGAGTTTTTAAATAATCCATGATATATATAATGAATTGTGTTTATGGTATGCTCTCGCACTGTGTTCTGTAAACAGTGTGCCACTGCAGGGTATCAGATGTGCTGCAGATTTCTATAAGAAACTGCATATTTGCACATTTGCAGCTCAGGAAGATATGAAGGCCAAGTGATCCAATCTCCATGCTCAGTTCCTATACCCAGAAGGTTGTTGTCAAGTCGGTGCTCGCTCATGCAAAATGGGGAGAGGAATCATCAAGCTGAAACCACATACTACCACACACATATAAAGGTGCATCCTCCAGTAAAAGTGGAAGCATTTTTTCATGGCAGGCAGTGTAAAGCATTGTAGTCAACAATTCTGACCTGAACATTGGCACTAAATCTTCGCTGTAAGGAGGAATGACAAGTGGCATGATGATTCTACATTGCCCATACATACAAGTTGTATAAATTGTGTGCACCACTTCTTGTAAATACTGCCCCATAGAGGTCTGACAATAACTTTAGCAAACTCACCACTGTGTGCTTGCCATGACAGCAGTGGACACAAAGCTGTGTGTGGTTTGATGACGTTGGCATAGCAGCATTTCACAACTGTGTTGTTTTTATCTATGTCAGTCTCTTTGTGAGTGGCATCTACTATTGTCTGAGTGTGTTTTGGTGTGCTGTTGTGAGAATGTCGGAGCTTGAATTAGAGGATTGTCTGTGAGGGAGTTTTTAGCTAGTAAATAACTATGCTGGAACACCCTCCCAATTCACCAGATCTAGCCCCAGTGATTTTTTCCTGTTCCTGAAGATAAATGAAATATTGAAAGGAAGGCATTTGAAGACATTGATAGGAAATATTGAAAGGAAGGCATTTGATGACATAAGGAGTAATATGATGGCAGCTGTGAAGGCCGTTCCACAAAACCAGTTCTAAAATTGTTTTGAAGGGTGGACAAGGCACTGGCATCAGTGCATAGCTTCCCAAGGGGAGTAATTGAAGGTGACCACAGTGATATTCAGCAATGAGGTATGTAGCACTTTTACCACAATGAGTTCATGAACTGTATTGTCAGACAGTGTAAGTCCACAGCACATGGCACAAATTGAGGGGTGTCCACAGTCTTGTGTAGCACCTGTCATAGGAAGTGGAGATGAAATGTTTGTCCCCTAGCTGCAACTCTTCTGCTGGCTTTACATGGAAAGGATATGCAGAGTACACTGAACTGTGCCCTGAGAAAGTCCTGTTGCAGAAGAAGTTTGACAAGTTCTGATTGATGGGTTCTCATATATAGTATCCAGCATGTTCCCTTTATCTTGCACATTGCAGCTTCCATGGGCCACACGTGCTTACAGCATGAGAGCGCCCGATTCCCTCAGATTATAATGCACTATTTCAGACACGCTCTGGTAAAGTTATGTCTGATCTGGATATTGATACTGATGTTCCCTCAATACAGCATTAGAGTTTCCATCACAAAAACATCATGAAATTCATGTGTGCAGACTCTACAGTAGTAAATATAGGCATTTTTGTCTTTTCCACTGTTCTTGTTACTGGTACTATTGCCTGAGTCTGATAGCTGTTCTCCAGCTGCCGCAGTCTCTCTATGTGGAACCTTATCAAACAGTCACAGTAATATAAAACATCACTGTAAATATGTTGCAACCCCAAGACAGATACAGATTTACATTTTCAACTCCAATTGATCTTGGTAGCAAACTCTTTTTAAGTATTTTGCTGGAGCTTTGAATCACCCTGTGTAATATTATATTTGAGCATCCTGTTACACTCACACAATATATATGAGACAAACACCGTCTTAAGTGTAACAATTTAATTGTAGTTCTTTCTTCTTTCCCTCCTCCACACTACATGTTTCGGCCCTAAATGGCCATCATCAGGTGTGTATTCTTACGTAGCTGTTACACTGCCTGTTAAAATTTAAAATCACCAGACTTTCTAATTGTATAAAATCTTTGTTAACCTACACGCGTTAATTTGATTTCTAAAATTAGCACTTTTTTAAAACTTAATTCAAGTTAAAATGTCTATAAGATTTCTGTTCTTTTTCTTTTTCAAATTTTTAAATTAAAATTTTCTCAGGGTACATGCCCTATGTCTATAGTGCTGCAGCGGCCACTTCTTGTTTTATCGCTGTTCAGGTATTGTTCCATGTAGGCCGCTGCAGCACTATAGACATAGGGCATGTACCCTGAAAAATTTAATTTAAAAATTTGAAAAAGAACAGAAATCTATCAAATTAACGCATGTAGGTTAACAAAGATTTTATACAATTAGAAAGACTGGTGATTTTAAATTTTAACCCTTTTGCGCGGTCATTTAAATACCACTGCCGTGTCTCTCCGGCGGTAATATATTCAGCCGTCCATTTAAATTTTGCTCGAAAATGATTTATTGATCATTGTTCTTAAATTATATGAGATAGGAACATGAAACTTTTACTAAAATGATCTAAAAAGGTGGTTTTATAACCTTACCTTATAATATGAGCAGCCGGTATCTCGGCAATGGAAGCAGTTTGTTTAGAATTTGAGCAGTGAATGGTACGCTTTGAAGCATGGAACTTTCACTAAAATGATCTTAAAAGATGGTTTTATAACCTTGCCTTATAATATGAGCGCCCTGTATCTCGGGAACGGAGTATGGTACGCATTGAAGCATTCTACTATACACAGCGCTGTCTCACTTCACCACACCAGTACTGCGTATCTCTCATTTGGCTCTCTTTTCCGTAAACCAAACATCTTCTGTGAGGCCTTGCATTCTTCCCCGTGGGGGGANATTCCAATTGAGTGTGTTAGTGTGGCCAGCTCAGGGCAATATGATATTATAAACACAGCACATATCACGTCTCTGCTGTTTATAACTTCATAGCAAAGAAAACACGCCATTCATAACAGTTTGAACGAGGTAACCTCTACCAGAAGCAACACGATTTTGCTGCAAGACAGGCATATGTAACGATGACTTACCACAGCTAAACTCATGTATCATTAAATACTGTTCTACTGACAACAGGCCAGCGAAAAATCTAACAATCTTCAGCAAAACCATCAATTATTATGGGCGTTATAACATAGGTGTGCAGCTGGACGAAGCATTGACGTCGAACCCCCGCAGACGATTTAAATACCTTGACGAAACATACGCGTCAAACCACGCTGAACAGTTAACAGGCAGTGTAACAGCTACATAAGAATACACACCTGATGATGGCCATTTAGGGCCGAAACATGTAGTGTGGAGGAGGGAAAGAAGAAAGAACTACAATTAAATTGTTACACTTAAGACGGTGTTTGTCTCATATACACCCTGTGTAACTTTGTTTATACAAGTTGATCAGATTTTAGCAGCAGGTAGCAAGAAACTGTTACTGGCCTTGAGCAAGGTGCAAGGTGGAGGGAAATTGTGCCCAGAAAGAGACCGGTACATTGCTGCCTGCTGTAAAACATTAAAAGTTCTGAGCTTTTTTCTAAACTGTCAGTGGTTCAGGTACAAAAAGAAAATGTAATGGTAAAACAATGGCAGAATAACTTAAAGTAAAAGGTAGTTAAAAAGGAATGGGAAGAGTAAAAGTGCTGAAGTGTTTTGAATTGTCAAGGGGGTCATATCTAAAAATAATGGGATGTGATAAAGAAGGTATAACAGACATAAATTGTGACATGAATGTGAAGATCTAGAAGATGAGCACTATAGAGAGTTTTGCTGTGTGTGAGTTAACAATACTCTTGCCTATGACAATGCAATGTAGAAGAAAACAGATGAAATAGATTCTGGAAAGAGAATCAAACCTCATTGTCTCAGTGGCTGGCTGAAAAGATTTGAGCAGTGTCATGGCAGTTGATCATTGGCAAAGCTTCTGTAATGATATGACTGCAGGGGACTATTGGGTATAATGTAGCACTAGTTCTTGAGCACTATATGGTAAAGAACGTGTTCAAAGTGGATGAACTGCATTTGCTAACAATGTACTGTTGTCCCAGTTGGTTTTGGGAAGTGTTCACTACATTCCACGTCCCAAGAGGACGGCCTGAGGGTAGAGGAAGAGCTCTGAGAAGGGGATAGAAGATAATGGTCAGGCCCCTCTTGGACATTTATTCTGAATTTTACAATGTGAAATGGGTCCAGAAGGAGCCTCGGAAACTAGGTCATCCACACATTCCCAAGTATAATCAAGTCATAATTGATTCAGACTTGCTCTGTCTTCTTTACACTAGATAAGTCGGATGGTGAGGTGAGCCCTGTTATATGCAGACTTGACTTTATCAGTGCCTGGATACCTCAGCAGCCTTGACCTCAACAAGCTGCTGCTAAGCAGTGCCTACCTTGAATCTGTCTGAACGTATCTGTGCCAGCTAGTATCATGGCTCTTGATATATAGTACAACCAGCCATCCCTTGGTGGCCATGGAATAAGGAAGGGTTGCTCTGTGTGCTACATGCTGCCATACACCTATCTGTTGGGCTGAGTAGCCTCAGTGATGCAGTGGGAGCATGAGAGTCCAGATGTATTTGTTTCTACCAGCTGCTAGAGTGATTTGAATTGTGTGCAATTTCATGCACAGCTCATGGAAGGTTGGAGAGTGCTGCACCAGAACCAGTCCTCCTCCCAGACAGTGTGAAAAAGGCTTGAGAACCCTTGGTGTTTAGGTGGAAGAAGAAAAGGAGTGGAGGAGATGTAGCCTATGTTTCTGTGTGCTGCATGTAACAACATTTTGTATTTTTACCAGTACTAGACTCTTACATTTATCTCTGCAGATGTAGATAAACAAGATTTTGGCAGCCAAACACTTTGCTGAAGAGGTACTTTAAAAATAGGGAAACATGCTTTGGGGTCAGAGATCACCTAATTCATATTTTCACAGACAGTACAGTAATTGTGAGATGAGAATTGTATTCACTATTAATATGCAGTGTTTGTGCTTTATTTATATACTATTGAAATATGTGTAGTGAAAACTACATTCCTCCCATGTAACTTACAGAATCATTGCCTGTTACCAGTTCAGTAAACAGTAAAGTTGTCCCTGTGCTTAACTGCTTAACTAATTAAGCACTGTGCCATGAAGGCATATGAGGAAGTGGATGTATAGATCCACATTTTCTTGACCTCGGCACTAGATGGAGGTGAGTGGTCAGCTTCAGAGCCCAGCTGCTTTACCTCTGGGGAAAGAACCCCCGATACCCAATGGATAGGACATTGGGTGGTCCCCAGAGTCGGTCTGGATGACGTAGAAAAGAGAAAATTCTTGACCCTACAGGGACTTGAACTTGACCTCCTCAGTCCAACCTGTAGCAAGCCACTATACCGACTGCGCTATCCCTTACCAGTTCAGTACAAAGGTAATATTATTACTTTCAGTAAAATATTAATGAGCATCACATAATATCTGCCATGAAGATCAGATAGCTGGTTCCACTCTTCCAGGCCATATTGCGTTATATATGCCCATGCCTTTCTAGAATGTCACATGGTACATTAAAGGGCCAGGAACAGAATATGCACCAAAGTCCACAGCTTCAGCCTGCCTGCTGTTTTATTATGACTGTATTGCTTGTTGAGCTCAAAGTATCACACCGACAGAAGCAAAGCACTGGCACTGCAGTGTTGATAAACAATATGCAAACAATCTTTCCATTGAATTCCCTTTTGTGATCCTGGAATTATATTCAAGTCAGGAAAGATGTCTACTCAATTCTTTTTGTGTAATGTATTTGTCTGATTATTTCAGATATAGTGGAAAAATATAGGGTCCGTGTGTCTGCATTAGAAGACAAAGTTAAACACATTCTGCAGGAGGAATGGGAGGAGCGTGCATTGAACCGGGCTGAGAACCAAGCAAACCATGCTGAAAAGATTCTAAAGGGCCAGGCAGAGATACCACGTTCTTGGTTCCAATCTGACAAGGAAAGAAAGCTGGAAAAGAGTATGTGTCTTGGTATTCCTGTGTTGGCATTACATAGTGGTATCATATGAGTCTTTTTTTTTTTTTTTTTTTAGTGGAGGGTGGAGTCCACCTGGGTCCACTCGGCACGGCAGCCACTGATTGGCCTATTGTACCTGCCCACAGGTGATTATGATGATGGATAATTTGGTGGAATGAATATTAGCGGGGGAAACCAAAGTAGTCGGAGAAAACCATCATATGAGTTGATTTTGTGTGAGTGTGCATGCATCCATACATGTGTGTATGAGTGTGGGGGGATGAATGTGTGCACATGCATGTATGAAAACTATTTCATGCTATTTAAAACAAATACAATGTTACAGGAACAGGCCAAGAAATAATTTGAAATTTGCTTTTAAACGTCGAAAGAAAACTCATGACTGCAGTACATACTTTGCAGTAAGTCTTAGAAAAAAATCAGTTCAAAGACATTGCACGTACTTTCTCATATGTTGTAACTGACCTTGACTATGTTACTGTGATAACAGAATTGATTGATGTTCCATAGACCACTGTTGGTTACTGAATGCTGAACAACACTAAAGTTGATCTGAGTGGTAAAGCAGGTTTTTGAGAAAATTAACATTTCACATTTGGGCTCCTAGTGTACGTACCATTATTCTTTTTAAACATGCAGCCTATGGAGTTTTATTTTAGGTAGGCGGTGTCCATAAATTAGTGAAATGTAATGAGAAACATTGTTACCTTTTCAAGATTTTTTTTTAAGGGCTTATGTGGATGGCCTGTGTTTTTGGAACATTCACTGGACACTGACCTATAGTGGAAAATCTCTTAAGTACTGAATGTGAATAAAATCCAACTATTCAGGCACTGGTAAGCCAGATGGACTGTGCATTCTAAAAGCCAGTTTTTCATATTTGGAGGGGAAGGGGACCTCAGAAAATGAAAGGGACAATTAGCTTGCTCTCCCATGAGAATGGCAGTTTTACTGGTAACTATTATGTAATTTTCAAGTTGCAAGCAAGACCCACAACTCCATCACATGCCCTTTATTGGGTGATGTCAAAATGTGGTGACTTCTTATATGGTGTGCATTAGTAGCAGTTTCGAAGTACTAATTTTTATGTACAGAAATTTGGAGAAAGGAAGGTTAAGTAAATTAACAAAAATTATTAATTATAATTTGTAAATAATTTAAATGTAACACAGAAATAATTTAATGTATATAAACATGTAAGTTTTCTGTTCCTTGATATGAAGCTAATAGATAACATCAGGATACTATGAAATTTACTCTGTACACTTGTGAGTATGTACAGTAGCCATGGCTGTTAGAGTATGTGCAGGTACTATATTGTGATAGGGGTTTTGGACACGAGTATAAAGTACTTATAAGATCAGTGCTATCTTATACCTCTGAGACCTGGCCATTGTCAAGATCGGGTGAAAGACTGTTAAGTATATTTGAAAGGAGGATCTTGAGATATATCTTTGGACCAGTGGAAGAAAATGGAATATGGAGAAAGAGGTATAACCATGAGCTATACAAATTATTTAATGAACCAGACATTATTGGATTTATAAAGGTGAAAAGGCTTGAATAGGCTGGACACATAATACATGCCAGCAAGAATAGAATGCTTAAGAAAATGCTTAATACTAAACCAGAAGGAAATAGGAAAGTGGGAAGACCAAAATTAAGATGGGAAGAATGTGTGTGGCAGGACATAAGAATTTTGGGTATAAAGAACTGGAGGAATGTAGCATCGAATAGGGAAGAATGGCGAGCAATCCTGAGGAAGGCCAGGGCTCGCAGAGGGCTGTCGTGCCAGTGGTGATGTGATGATGTTTTGGACACGATTCAGATTCTCATAACAGTCTGTCGAGACGCCAATATAATCATCAAGGTGATCACCCTACAATACCATTGTAACATCAGTACAGCATCAATACTTTTGTCCTTATTGCATGTCAAATGAGCGGGATTAGTGAAGGTAATATGAACATCCAACCAATTTAAAATTTACTCTTACGACTGTTTCAAAGCTTCATATCTACAAGTATTTCTTCCCTTTCCCACCTTTTCTAGTGCTCGGAAATATATTCGTTTTCACAAAAGGTAACTCATTTATTTTCTGATACACACAGTTCAATTTCATGACCAGTCCTGGGAAAATGACAGAAGCCAAGTTACCCATTCCAATGTGCATGATCGCACAGCCTTTCAGTGCAGTTCTTTGGGTGTCTTGTTGAACAGAAGTGAGAGCACATTATCTCAACAGCCATTAATATGAGGAAGAGTCAGTAAATAGGTCAGAAATGGATATAAAATGTAAAACTTAATATTCGAATGTGGGAAAAATATTTAGTTCTTGACATCCTCTGCCAACGTTAATACACTTGTTCCATTGGTTTACCAGTATGTCGAAATCTGCAGCATAGAAGTCTTTTGACTGTTGTCTCAGCCACTTCTGCACCTCCATTTCAACCTCGTCACCAGCAAAACGTTTGCCACCAAGGTGGTTTTTTAGCAGACCAAACAAATGGAAGTCACTAGGGGCCAAGTCTGGGCTGTAAGGCGGATGTTCAAGAACTTCCCACTGTAGTTCTTGAATTCTGTCTGGGGTTGCTGGGGCTGTATGTGGTCTGGCATTGTCACGAGGAAGCAGTACCGTTCTTGCTAGTTAGCGTTCATGTTTCCTGCAAATTGCATCCTGAAGCTTCAATAGAACTTCACAGTACGATGCAGAATTACAGTTTTCACCACACTTTTAAAAATGGGCTAACAATACTCCCTGAGGATCCCAAAACATGGCAAGCATAACCTTAAACTGTTTTGTTGAATAAGAAGGTGAATTGGGATGCTTCTATTGCATTGAAGCACACTTTGATTCAGGTTGATAGTGCTGCACCTATAATTTGTCCACACTAACAATCCTGTTAGGCACATTGTCATGTGATAGGAGTGACTATAGATGGGGTTTGGATTGGTTTCTCAATTTATTGACCACTTATACACACAACTCATAAATACACTTCACAGTTCACTGTTACACACACAGTAGTGTTCTCAGTCTGTTACAGTCTGCATTAGTCATTGCCTGGTATCAGATCCTACTGATGAAGATTCTTCATCTTCCATGCTCATGTCCTTGCCAGGTGGCAAATATCCCGCAACTGACTAAGTCCCAGGCTGGCAGCCATCTCACGCCAACCTCCTAACCTTCCCTTCACAGACTGACTAACTGCAGCTCCCCCATGTCCCGCTTATATCATCTTGGCATGGACCATGTAGAAAACACAGCTCTTCTAATGTTTGTGTGTGTGTGTGTGTGTGCGCGCGCATCCGTGCGCGTCTCCCCC